CCACACTCAATCGCTTTGTGCTCGCACGCCGCTACGAACGCAACGCAAAGCACATCCAGTTAGTCCCCAAGAAGTTTCTTTATCATTCCCGCTCCGATGGTGGTTTGGCTATACCCGGCATCGAAGCCTCGCTCAGGCCTCAGAAACTCAACGTGCTGCTTCAATTCATCGCTTCGTCGACCTCGGCACAACGTAATTAGACCACGTCAGGAATTGCAGTATTGTCATTCGTGCTGCCACCATGGAGCCCATTGCAATCTCTCGATTTTCTCGCTGTTAGCACCATGCGGCATGGTGCTCTGCTTCGATGGGACGTTCTATCCCATTGGTGGAGACAGGTCTGGTGTCTGTGGTATCGGGTCAAGTGGGAAGATACATGGCGAGACCTCGCCCCTCTTGCTCGTTCTGGCTATGTGCTGAACCAGCCGATCTGGTTTCATGCTGAATTGGATTTTCAGATTGAAGTCACCCCTCGGATCGACAGCTTAGGGGGACAGCGTCGTAGTCTGTGCACAATTGCTGAACTCCAACGGAGCTTCCGTCAACACATTGCAACGACGTTCCAGCCACGGTGCCTCGCTGACTTCCTTGATGCGGAAGGATCATGGCTAGACGTTACTGCGTTTGCAACCAGTCACATTGACTACCGGCTCATAGCGGTTTTGGCGTACCAGCAGTATCGGTGGCTTCGTAGTGTAGACGACGAAACCACACAAGTTTTCAAGCGATTACATGGAAGGTGCGGCAATGCACCGCTCCCACATCCGTGTAGACCATCCACCGTGGCATCGGCTGCAGCCAAACGATCCGGTAACAATTGGAGGTTAGCCGTCTCTTCAGCAGCCTCCATCTCGCTGAGTATTTCTTGAATTGGCATGGGTATAAGTCTTTACCACATTGGTGTGGTGCTTGGTAAGAAAATGGCTGGCTTCTTTGCTAGAGTTTATGTCGCGCGGTGCTTGTACCTTCCGATGCACGATCTGAATGCGCGTGGTCGTAACCTCATCGAGCGTTGCTGGGAAACAATCGAACTCGACCTCGACTGAGCTGAAGACGTCGAAGTACTTACTGGTTGTAACTCCGGCCAAGGGTTTTGGAC